ATACATTTTAGGAAGCTTCTGCAATCACAGATCTTTTTCTATATCAAGTAAACAAAATCATATTCTAAGTTTATATTGTTTATCTCTTCTGATATTTGCATCCACATTTCTAAACAGTAATAAAAATTTATAACATAATGCATTTTTCCATTTTAGAAAGTATCTCAGTATTTACTACAGAAAATAAAGACTTCCCTCAATTTCCTCAAAATCTCTAACATCACCCCTCACAAGACTCCATGCTTTAAAGATGGTTATTTCCCACTTTATTTAGTTTTTGAGTCAGTATTGATATTTTTGTGCTATTCCCACTATGTAAGCATTATACAGATTATATTTCCTTTCTGATAAAACTGTTTCTCCTAGAGTAGATAACTGATTCCTCCAATGTTCTCTGTAATCCTTGCTATCAATTATTTCCCACCCAAATCGTGTCTCATCATTGTACAGCACGTCTCAGTGTACACGTGTGCATTTTCTTTTGAAGATGTTTCTCTTAGACACATCTTGTACAAAAACACACTTGGTGAATTTCCATCATAAAAATTCTGTTATGCAGACATTTACACTGAATTCTTGGCTTTCTTGTTGCCTTGTCTGTCTGTCTCTCTAGTCACTTCTAAAAATATATTTTAAAGCAGAAACAAATTCCTACCCAAAATTTTAAAGGAATCTTTGTTTGCCATCTTATTTCCAGTGTTGATTCTGAGAAATCTAGCACCATCTTCATTCAGAATTCCTCAAATATAATCTACTTCTCTAAAAGCATTAAGGGCATTTTCTTTATGTAGCCTATGTTCTAAAATTTTGCAGTGATGCTTCTCAATATATTCCAATTTTTTTCTTTTGTTCTGCTGTACAATACATGATTCTCTTTGCTCTAAAAACATCATCATTACTCCTGGGAGGTTGTCTGATTTTTTTTTTAAAGTTAGGACCTAAAGAGAAGGGGGTGTTGTTCAGTAGTTAAAAAGTAGGTATAGATCTCTCTCCGAGTTTCCCACTTTGATTCTAAGCATCCACATCAGGTGCGGTCAAACACACACACACGTGTGTGTGTGTGTGTGTGTGTGTGTGTGTGTGTGTGTGTGTGTGATCCTCTAGGAACATGGACACAAACACTTAAAAATTTAAAAAAGAGAAATCTTAAAAATAACATACAGAATAATGGACTTTATTCTGAACCATTCACATATACATATGATCTACTTTGCTCATGTTTTTCTTTGAAGAAAAGATCCCTTTTAAATTTTATGAAGTGCTCCTGAGAAATGGTCACTTTTCTGTGATTTTTGAGATTAAAATAGTTTTCAATGAATTTTAAAGTTCAAATAATTTTCTAGCACTTGTCACTGCATCTGTTGTCTTTACCATAGGGTATCCTAGAACAGTAAGTCTCTAGAAGCAGAAGAAAGGTTTCTTTCATCAAGTAGGAAATTCTACCAAGCTTACCTTAGCTGTTGTAGGGGCAGAAAATGAACCAAGGAAGATTTTGTTCTGTGAGGATTTATCTAGCGCATCACTTCCTTTAAAGAAGAGATGGGAGGAAAGGGCAGCAAGGGAATGATGCTCCCGACAGATGTGAAGGTTTCATAATAGTCATATCCATCAATGATGCGACAATCCTTGTTTATATGAGTATATTCTATAAGATTATAAGGTTCCACCGGAGACTATAATATTTGCATTTCTATGCTCTAAAGTCATCACAATGTCTGCCATTCTTTAAATATTAAATGAAGATTTAACCATTTGCTCTTAGTGGATTACTCTTATCCGTGGAGAGAGTACAACTCTTCACTGGATACTACTACACACTGTTGTAGCCTCAGGGGCTTTACTTTTGTCTTCTTCCCCTTTCTCCACCCCCTCCTCCTCCTCGTCCTTCTCATCATCATCATCCTTTTCTTTCTCCTTCCTCTTTCGTTATGTGGAAATGACAATAATCAATGAAGTCTCTTCTAATTAGAAGAGTAAATTATGAACTCTGTGTGTGTGTGTGTGTGTTTCAGAATTAAATGTAAACTATGGTGTGATCATTTAACATGGCAAATTGGTCAGGGATTCACAAACTCGAATGTATCCACTTCTCATTTTTAGATACTATAATGTTAAATAGTGTTTAACTGTAACATATATGAGATGTTTATGTTAAGGAGTTGTACAAAATTACCCAAACAGTAAGTTTGAAATTACTTCCTGTCTACACATGGTATGCAATAGTCCCACAAAAAAGTGACTTTGAACACCTCACTAGGATTTTCTAGGATATATGCATGAAAGAAGTGTGTAGATCCTCTAGGAACATGGACACAGCGGTGCTTGAACACAAGCATTTCAGAAGTAAAAATCCCCATGGAAATTCACTTCATAAAATCAACACCCTAGAATGACCTACACTTTTCCAGGCCCTCCTTCCAAATCCTCAGCAGCTGAGCTCATTTTAAATAAAACTGCATGAAAAGGATTAGGAAAGAAATATAACAGAAATATATAGAATAGTGGTCCCTAGGTTAAAAGATAATTTTAAATGAAGCAACTTGATATAGACTCCCTTAGGGAAAGTTGGGCTTTTTAGAAAGAACACATCTTACAGCATGGATTTGAGTCAGTTCAGATAATTTAGAAAACTAGGTTGCTACGCTCAGATACAGTGCCAATAACTCAATGCTTCCTTCTATTTATTAATGATTTCTCTGGGCTCAAGTGGAAGGTCTTAACTATGAAATTAAAAAAAATCTGGATTTAAGTAAGAAGTGTGCATAGGAAATACGATAGAAATGAAATGGTTTGAAGCCTATCAGACCATAGACTGTGGGATAGGGTTGAGAACATAATGGTGATGTTCATAATATAAGTAGGAAATATTTTGTCCTTAAAAGTGGACAGCACAGGGTCATAAAAATGATTTTAAAATATTTTGAAAGCCTAGATTAGACATAAGGCTAGAGTTAGCACTATATTGACCCTAACTAATTTATAATCTCTGTGAGCTGTTCGAATTTGTTGATCTACCAACCCTCGATATGACAGAAGGGCTTTCATACTCGCCTTGGATGAATAAAATGAGATAAAACTATCGTAAGCTCTTAGAAGAAAAAAAATACTGTGTATTGACTTTTCAGATTCAGCTTAAAGTTTCTGAGGCACTCAAAGAACTGCATTTCTCCTCAGTAAAAGAAATGAAACCAGAATTCAGGCTCAACCTAAACATAAATGGGGCTGAGGAATGACACAGTAACACCACTTGGCATTCCTTAAGTTACCCTGTTCCTTCTGCACTGGATAAAAATAAAGAAAAGAAAGCATCGGAAACAGAACCACCCTATTACAACCCAAACTTGCCCATGAAAGCAGAAACCTTCTGGCCTGCCTCTGAGCGTTTTTTCCACTTTCCGTAGCCTCCCACACTATAATGACCTATGCATGGAATTCGGAGGCTTTATATTTTTCTTTTTCGGTGCAAGGTGAATGCCAACATGGAAAATGTGAATGATGGCCATTTTCAAAGATGGCCACAGACCTCGGAAGGAACCAAAAACCATCCAGAAGGATATTGGGTCCCTCCCAGGGTACCAAAATGCTGGCACATCTTAATTCCACCCGTCTTTATGGGGTGTGACTATTTACCTTTCTAGCGTGTGCTTCGTTAGAATAACTTGAATTTTTGGTGGGGAGTCAGAGTCCTTTTCAAAAGATGGGATTGAAGCCAACTCAGCAGTTAATCTGGTTTATGACTAAGGGCAACATTATATGCTGGCAGCTCCTTTGCAGAGCAGAAACTAAAAACTGCTTTTTCAATGGGATTTTTCCTTCACAGTCTAGTAATTTGTTTTCACTGTAGACTGACAGTTGAGTTATCACCTTTAGAAGACTGATTTTAACATGGATACAACTTGTTTCCTTTAACTAGTTTAAATAATTCAAGGCAGAGGATTCAGACCTGGGAAGTGCTTACGTTCTGATCTTATCTTACATGGGATTTTGTTGTTGGCTTAAATCTGCATGGTCCAAATCGAAAATGTAATAACATCTTTACAAAGACAGAGGATGAGACTTGAGTATCTGAAGACTGGACCTCATTGTCTAATGATGCTTCTGGTTCACTTGAGTTGCTTCATGGGAGGGTTAGAGTTCATTCATAGGAAAAACATGAGAGCAGATGATGATGAAGAGTAAAATATGACAATTCTGTGGCGACAATGAACTCCATTGGTTATGTGAGCCTGGCCCTTGGAACCATGACCTGATTTAAAATTTTGGCTAATGCCCTAGGTCTATTGCTTTGAACACTCATATATCTTTTATGCTTCAACAATACTTCCATGATATTAATTATGGCAGAAAAAGAATGTATGGATAGATGTATCTTAAAACCTTATAATGGAATATAATAGAATGTATCATGCTTTCTTATTCATGAATTGTGAGCTGATATGAACTAAACTGTATTCGTCTGTTTCTCTGTTACACTCCGAGGAGAGACATCTTGGTTACTGGGACTAGCATGAGTTATTTTACACACTAGTGAATTGCACATGCTGTCGCTGTTGCTCAAGATTGTAGGACCAGTTCCCCGGAGGCCCTTGTTTCAGTTCAAATCCGCTCCCTTAATGGCTTTTAATCACAAAAGGAAATCAGGAAAGCATGCAAAGCCAGAGCAACAAGTTAGCTTTTCCAGTGAATTTTATTATGTATTGCAATTCAAGTATTTTCTTAATGAAGCTTAAAATGTTTTTAGTACTTATATCTTCATTCACTAATAAACCAGCCCAACTGTTATTTTTTTTACGTACTGATAGAGTTTCACTAAAAATACTAAATTTATTTTTTCACTCTTATTAGACTACTTCTGAGAAACAAAACCATTAAGGCTAATAAACAAAGGCTTTGCATTATTTCCTACCTCTGCTAAATAACACAGATTTACATTCTTTGCCACAAAACATTATTACCTTGGAAATGTATCTATAACAGCATATTTTCAAAATTTTTAACAGGTGACGAAATGGCAGAACACACTCTTTTCTTTGATCCATGAATTCAAAATCTTCTTCCGTCAAGTTCCATCCCCGGTGAACGTCATATGGAATGCATCTCCTTGTCTGTCGTTAAGCTATGGTGACATGTCTGTAGCTATCAGAAAAAGGAGTTGGGAAGAGCATGTGACCCAAAAGACTGGACAGCCTTTTAATTCTGATGAGTATGACATAGCATGTCATCACGGACTGGCATCCGACAGCTTGCAGGCAAGGATGGAAAAAGATGCAACCTTAAATGTGGACCATAAAGAGAAGTGTGCCTCTCTACCAGACTGCTGCTGTGGGCCCGAGCCTCGAGACTTCCCTGGGAGGCCAATGGGTCACATTTCACAGGAGGTGGATGAAAGTGGCAGCCAGGAAGGGGACGAGCAGTTTCTGTCTCTGGAGGCTAGCACAGAGACGTTAGTGCACATTTCTGATGAGGATACTGACTCTGATCTCCACCTTACCAGTGATGCACAGATTTCAACTCCCCAAAGACATGAACGAGACAGCCAATGTAGTGTTGAAGGAGCAGGCTCCTTCCTCAAGACACTGTCCACTATGCAAAGTAACCAAGACTCATATAACGCCTGGAGGAAGGCTGGTGAAGCCAATGTATCTCCAGCAGAAGAAAGCGGGAAAAGGCAAGGTGCTGATGCTGTAACTAAAAGCCTGGAGCTTTGTAAGGATATAAATTCAAAGGAAACAAAAGATGTGCCCAAAGAAAATGCATGTGATTCTTTGACTGTGGAAGATACCACACCTGAAACCCAACTGCTTAATTCTGCGGTAATCGCGCAACAACGAAGGAAACCTGACTTCCCTAAAGAGGAACAGGAAAAAAATCACCAGCACGTAGCAGAAGACGAGTTCCTGGCTGCTCCTTATGCCGACAGGGGGCCGCCATTATTAAAAGCAGATTGTGGAAGCTGCCTTTTGCAGCCTCCTTCCTGTGCGGGTGGAATGTCAGCAGAAAGTGACCTGGACAAGAGCGGGTTCTCAGAACATCAAAACAACAGCCCTCACAAGGTCAACGCAGACGATGGCATGCAGTGTTTACACTTAAGGGGCCCAGTGACCACCCAGGAGACCATAGACAATCGAGTCAGACTGCGCAAGAGAAAGGTAAGCCTCACACGCAGATCAGCTGGCTTTTGAAACGTTGTAAATAATCATTCTCATCACTTACGAAGTAGCTTGGGCTGCAGAGAATGCGCAGATGTTTTGTTTTGACCCGTTAAGCAGCTCATATGGCTTAAGGACAATTCACTTGATAAGATGAGGAAGATGTGTGAGAGTTGGTATATAATAATTTTACTGTTTCACTAATAGCATTGCAATGCTTTGTGGCTCTTTAAAATTGTGTCCAGAAAGGACTTAGGATGGTTTGCTGTCCTTGGAATTTTGTCACCACAGTCCTTTACTTTGTAGTCGATGGCCTTCTGAAAAGTGGCATTTATGTTTTAGAAGAGAAAGTGCAGTGTGTTTACTTTTGTCTCATTTGCTTGGACTTGTTTTCTTTTCCTTTTCAAAGCACGTTTTGTCCTTTTCACTCACATACTTAAAACAAAAACAAACAAACAAGCAAACAAAAACAACTTGGAACTGGTGAAATGGCTCAGAGGTTAAGGGCATACCCTTCCCTTCCAAAGGACCATCATTGCAGGCACCCATGATGGTTGGCTTGCAACTGTCTATAATTCCAGCTCCAAGAAATCCAGGCATTCTCCTAGGCTCTGTGCGACACTGGCCTTATCTGCACATACTTGCACTCAGATGCACACACATACGCAGAATTAAAAAAATACGATAACTCTTTAAAATTCCAAATAATCCTTTCTACATGGAAAGACAATACTGCACATGTACTTTAAATGGTATGCTAGTATATCCACTATCAATAGATACATCATTGTATCTTTACCTTGGACAGGACCAATACATGATATGAAATTTTATTTTATACCAAGTCTTCTTTGAATGAATCTAGGGATTCCCCTGAGGAAGCTTCCAGATAAGAAAATACAGGGTGGCCCTACATGACTGGGTTAGCATTGGACTCTTATTCAAGATTTCAGGCTTCCTTAAATATATTTGTAAACATAGTATTACATAAACGGAGGTAAATCAAAGTGACAGTTACTCTTCAATTGAAGAAACCCTGAAGATTGGAACACTGGGCAATAAGAGTTTTTCAAAGATGTTTTTCTTCTCCTCTTCTGAGGTAATCTTAATCCATAAATTTGCATTTACGAAACAGAAAATAGATACTCTTCATTTTGCTTCATTTGAGCTACCTACCTACTCTTTGAATTAGAAGGGACCTTTCTAATTCTCTCTTATTTCCATAATCTGTGCTTTCTGTTAACAAACTTGTAAGTAATGTATTGCTAGTTCATTTAAATGAACTCAAGGCCATTTACTGCAGAAGTCAGTATGCTCAGACCGTGCATCAACAGAATATCCTGTGCCTCTGGCAAACATTCCCTCCCCTATGTAAGCTGTATGGAAAGGTATTATGATTGGAATGCTCAGGCCACATTTCCAGAAATTTCCATATGTCCTATCAAATCTGTTGGCGAGAGGGCAATAATGATACAAGAAAATATTAACTGACTAATGACAACAGCTCCCTACAATAAGACAAATCTGGCCCAACTGCCTCCGGACACATTTGACATTCCTGCAGAAGATGCTCATGGCTGGCCATTGGCATCAATAGGAGGAAGGCTGGGAGGAATCTGTGCTTAACATACTGCTAAAGGCTGCACTTTGGAGGCTGTAGTTATAGCTCATTTACAAGTTCTAATTGAAATTTTCTATTTTAAGCATTTCAATACCCCAAAGTGTTGCACTATGAGTGGTCGGGAACACTGACTTTGATAGTACAACCTTTTGGCATGCCTTGGAATTAGAAGAGGAAATGCGAATGTTTAGGTTTTAAAATTTGTTATAGAAGGTGTGGCTAAGATGGGAACAATTAGAATGAGAATGTGTAATCACTGTTGTTTTATCTGTTACTAATGAGTGTTAACTTACTATAAGTTGAAAATTGGCTCAATGTGTACCAAAATACCCAAATATATACATAAGGACAACAAGAACCTCTGCCTCTTCCCTCCCCTTCAAGGCCGGGAGGGAAGCAGAAAAAACTGTAGAGCTCAAAAAAAATAAATAAATAAATAAATAAAAGAACAACAAGAACCCTGTCTTGAAAAAACAAAAAAAAATAAAAAATTAAAAGCAAATAAACATATATTCATTGCTTCATGTAACTAAAAACTAAAGGAAGTAGCTTAGTTTTGATCAATATATAGTTCACTGTTATGAATGTTTGGAATGCTATACAGCTATTAAACACTTGGAGTGAAGGGTTTGTAGAGGTGTCTCAGTCGGTTAAGTGCCTACTGGACAAGCAGGAAGAATAAAATTTGATTTCCCAGAATACACATAAAAAGCGAGGTGTTACAAGACATACCTTAACCCCGGCACTCAAGGACCAGAGATGGCGGTATCCCTGGGCTTGCTAATAATACACTTTTGAGCTTAAATATGTTAAAATTGCCCACGGAATTGAAATTGAAACCACAAACATCAAAGGGAAATCAAGAGGACTGCAAGCGGACATTAGTGACTGAGCCACATGGCTGTGTGGCATATGACGAGAGCCCATACAGCCTTGGATGAATCTCTGAGCAGAGACAGCTGCTTAAAAGCAGTTCTCAGAGACACATTCCACACAAGTCTGGAGGCAGGGGAGAGTCTAAGAAGTGGTCTCTTAAACCAAACGTATGTGAAGACGGAAAAGGCTTAGGGAAAGACTTGAGGTTGGAAGTTTTTGAAAAACTAGAGTTATTTGTCCTTGATGGTGGTTTGCTAATTAAAGAGACCCAACTTCCATCTTCCATAAAGAGCATGTAGGTATTTGCCAAGTTTTTGAGTAATATTGTAGTTAAAGAAATGTATGAATGTGTTTTTCTTAACACACTTAGACGAGACATAAAACGTACTACAAAGCAGGATAAGTTCCAGAAAGTATTGCAAAAATAATAACTTTGAGATGACACCACTACCCACTTCCAAGAAACTCCCTCAATCCAACAACAAATTAGTTTTGACTTTGGGATTCTTGATGTGCATGGTGGCCTGAACCTTTAACCTCAACACTTGACAGATGGAGGCAGAAAAATTGCCTCGGGCTCCATTACAAGTTCTGAGCCAGCCTGGGCTACAGTGATACCAGGTCTCAAAAAGAGCTGGGCCAGGGGACACAGGCCGTTCAATAAAGCGGTTGCCATCCCTAGGAACCTGGTTGTATACTCTCAGTACTGGGGTGCTGGGGCATGCAGAGTCTGGCCGATGACAAGGACTCATAGCCAGTCAACCTAACACATTCACTGAAGCCCAAGCCAGTGACACACCTTAGCTAAATGCAGCAAGGTAGAAACTGGCATGATAATTGTCTTCATTAGGATTTCTATTGCTGTGAAGAGACATCACGACTGTGACAAGGAAAGCATTTAATTGGGGCGGGCTTACAGTTCCAGAGGTTCAATCCATTATTACCATGATGGGGAGCATGGTGGTGTTCAGGCAGACATAGTAGTGGAGTTAAGAATGCAACATCTGGCAGGCAACAGGAAGTCAACTGACTGCCACACTGACAGAAACTTGAGCAGAAGAGACCTGAAAGCAAGCCTGCCGGCACAGTGACACACTTCCTACAACAAGGCCATGCCTCCTAATAGTGCCACTCCCCTTGGGGGCCATTTTCTTTCTAACCACCATAATGGTTAGGCAGGGAAAGTCTGAAAAGAAAGCTGAGTTATAAGCCCTGGCCTACATAGTAGAAGGAGAAAATCAACTCATCACAAGTTGTCCTCTGACCACTGCACATGATCCGTGGCATATGCGTGCGCACACACACACACACTCATAGGCACATGTATACACACACACACACACACACACACGTACGAAACTGTTCAAGTAAATTAACTTATGTAAAAATTGAACAGTTGCTCAGAAACTAGCACCTAAAAACACTCAGATTCTCTTGATGATCTTTTATCCACACACATGCTCACACTATGCTGTCACTGAATGGAGGGACGTGAAGCAAGTAACAGAAAGAGAAAGTGGACAAAGAAGGATATAAAGGAGGAGTGGGCTGAGAGAGGAAATGGAAGAGGATAGGCTAAAATGGAGAATTAACGGAAACACTGGCCAATTACATGGAAAAAAAAATACAAGTCCTTCCTTAACCAAAAGAAAAATCAACTTTCAGAAGGCTGAGATAGGATTCTGTGCCAACACAAAGGCATGGTGATCACCAGCAGATCAAGAAGATAAGGAACATGAAGCTGGTTCCACTAATGACAGAGCAGAGAGGGCTAAATGACATGTCATTGTACACCGGAGTCTTTGATGGCCGCAGCCAGCCCTCATGGGCTGCATCTCCATCAGGCTAAGCAGAAAACTCTGGTAAGCTTATTCTCAACAAACTCAAATGATTTGGAATTCTTTAAAAAGACTTTTCTATTATAATGCAATTATATCATTCACTTTTTCCTTTTCCTCCCTCCACATCCTCCCTTACACCCCTCCTTGCTCTCTTTCATATTCGTGGCTTCTTTTTACACTGGTTCACTGATTGTTCTCATGTACATGCGTGTGTGTGTGTGTGTGTGTGTGTGTGTGTTCTCCTTTATTTTAAACCTTTTATTCATTTAGATACCAACCACAGTTTTCCCTCCCTCTCTCCTTCAATCAGTTTCTCTCCCCACCCCTTTTACTCCTCAGAAAGGGTGAGACTTCCCCTGGGGAGTCAGCAAGGCCTGGTACATTAAGTTGAGGTAAGACCAAGCTCCTCCCCACTGCATCAAAGCTGAGCAAGACATTCACCATAGGAATGGGCTCCCAGGGATAGCTCTTGGTCTCAATTTCCAGGGACCCTTCAAAGAGACCAAGCTAAACAACTGTTGCATATATAACACCTATATGAGTGTATGTGTTACACCTATAAGAATATATATATTCTTATAGGTGTAATACAACTTGCTCAGTCTTTATGTTATTTGTGTGTGTGTGTGTGTTTTAAGAGTTGACCATTTGATATTGGAATG